GGACGAGCCCCATACTCAATTGAATAAGCCTCGTTCAGGATTTTTTTCACTACTTCCTCATCATACCTTAATGTAATGTTTTTCTCCTGGGCGACCCGCTGAATAAACAAATCCAATTCTTTAATAATAATTTCTTTAATAACTTCCCTGCTTAGAGGGTTAAAGAAAACTATTTCGTCAAGGCGGTTGAGAAATTCTGGACGAAAGTGACTTTTTAATTCAAAATTTAATTCCTCTTTTATTTCGTCCATTTTTTTCCCCTCAAAATATAATTCTGAACCTAGATTAGTAGTTAAAATGATAATCGTATTGCGAAAATTAACTTCCCGGCCGTTAGCCAAGGTTAGAAAACCATTATCTAGTATCTGCAAAAGAATATTAATAGCCTCGGGGTGACTTTTTTCTATCTCATCAAAAAGAATAACACTATACATTTTTTCTCGAATAACTTCTAGTCGCGGTCGCTCCTCAAAGCCAATATAACCAGGAGGAGAGCCAATTAGTTTACTAATTGAATGTGGTTCGGAGAACTCGGTCATATCCAAACGAATCAGATTTTTTTTTTGGTCAAAAAGTTGCTCGGCGATGGTTAAAGCCACTTCGGTCTTACCTACCCCGGTTGGTCCTACAAACAAAAAGGAGGCCAAAGGGTGATTAGGGTCCTGAACCCCAGCCCGAGCCCGAAAAATAGCATCACTAACTGCTCGTAAAGCCTGTTTCTGTCCCTTCACCCTTTGTTGGAGAATAACTGGAAGGAAAAGCAATTTTTGCTGTTCATCAGCCAAGATTTTTCCAATGGATAAATCATACTTTTGGGCAATGGTTAAAGCAATATCTTCTCGGTTTATAAAATATTTTCTTAGTACATTGCGATTGGCTTCCTTCTCGATTTTTTTGACCTTTTCTTTTCGGGAAGGAATGGTTAAATTCATTAACTCACTAGCCTTATCGAGGTCTAACTTTTCCCCCTCTTGACAAATAATTAATTCCTTTTCTGCTTGGGCTAATTCTTTCTTCGCCTGATTTAACTCCTGAATAATTTTATTTTCTTTCTGGTCTAATCCTAATAATTCTACAAATTCCCTCTGTTGTTTTTTGATTTCTTGTTGGAGATTAAACACCTCAACTTCATCCTTCTTTTCTTTCTCGGCGGCGGTCAACCTCATTCCTAATTGCCTTAATTTCTGGCGAGTTTTACTAATTATTTCTGGCTCATATCACATTTCGCTTCGGACTCGTCCACAAGTTTTATCTAGCAAATCAATCGCCTTGTCTGGTAAATAAGTAGTAGTGAGATAACGCTGCGAAAGATTAACTGCTGCCAATAAAGCCTCATCACAAATTTTTAATCCATAATAAATCTCAAAATAGTTCCGAATACCATATAAAATTCGCAAAACTTCCTCTGAAGTTGGCTCGTTCACTAAGATATTATCGAAACGACGCACTAAGGCCCTGTCCTTCTCAATATATTTACGGTATTCTTCCTGAGTGGTTGCTCCAATACACTGGGTTTCACCCCGCGAAA